CTCTCACCACCTTTTTTTATTTTTTTCCAGCTTTTAAAGGTTTTCGGTTTGTTTTTCTTTTCCCTTCCACCCAGGTGCGGTTTAGAAACACTGGTCTGAAGCATGTTTCCTTTTACTCATTTTTTTTGCTAGATGGATTCTTTATTTTTTATTTTTTTTATTATTACTTCAAACCTCACAGAGCCCCAACCTTTTCCGCTGAGCAGAACGAGCCTGCCTGATATTTCTACCACCGGCGCGGGGACAGCAGTTAAATATTGCAACGGGTCTGAACCTTTGCACAGGCCAGATCCCAGTTCTCTGTAAACAGCTGAGTCCGAGGACGGCTTGAAGGCAATTTCCTATTTATAGCAATTTTATTTTATTTTTCGTTCTGGTTCGGGTACGCCTCCTGAGGAGCTAAATCACAGCGTTAGCCCCGTCACCACTCAAGCTCGGCATTAAGAACTATTTCAATTTGAAGGCATCACATCTATTTTGTAGCATTTTTGGGGGGGTTGGTTTCTTTTTTCTTTTTTTTTTGTTGTACCAGTCTCCCGTGTGGTAGCCGAAGTGCGGTACAGGTAGCCTTTACGATTTTAATCAAACCGGTTAATTTACTTTATCCAGTGCATCAGCTCTACTTCCTCCCTGTGGAAAAGGCTTTGTGGACTCTGGTAGATGAAGCCACTCTAGCATCCAGCTTGGTTTTGGACTAAATTTGTCCACTTTGCAAGGTTCACACACAGTTTATACTTCTTTTTTTTTGTATATGAAAACAGTGGAGCGTCTCCGATTTGCCGCCTCCCTTCCAGTACCGCTTCAGTTTTGTATTTATCGGTGATACAACCCAATAAAAACCTCGTTTCGATGAGTCTCAGAGCTCTTAAGCGTGTCTCTGGTGCAGAGTCCTTGAACCTCGGCTTTCCTTCCCTCACGCTTTGTGAGTTTTTAAGCGCTTTCCCCCTCTGGGAGAGAGCCGGGACCAGGCAGGGGAGTGTTGGTGCTAATTCACCTGCACCGGTAACAACCCTTTGGCGTCACAGCGAATCCTTCCTGCTCCCAGGAAGGTGGGATCAACCTTTCCAGGGAACACACAAAGAAGGAGGAGGCCAAGACTCTCGTGCCTAAGTTCTTCCCGAGGTTACTGCAAGCCCAGGTAAGGTTCAGCGGGTAATTAGAGCTCACAAACTCATTAGAGGGTTGAGTTCATACTGGGAAGTTGGGGAAGAGTCAGGGAGCTGAACAGGTTTTGTTCTGGAAGGGGTAAAAAAAAAAACAAACAACACAATAACCAGAGCCCCTGATGTCTAAGCTGAGCAGTGAGTTGTGTTTTAGCTAAACTCAGGGCGAAAGCCAGGCTCTGAAGGGACAAAAGGGAGGTCACATCACAAGTGCTTTAATAAACCATTGATTCTTTTCTGGGAGAAGTGAAAAATCTCCTTAGTAAGGATTCTAGGACCCAAGTCAGGGGTTTTTTTTGTTGTTTTTTTTTTCTTTTCACACTTTATTTCGAGTTAGCCTGCATGATTCACTATGTACTCGCACGCTACACAACACGAAAGCTCCTGTGTGCCCAGTGCAGGCACCAACAGCCCCCACCTCTTAGTTCTTTGGTTAGAAAAAAAAGGCATTTTTTTTAAAAAAAAAATCACCATCCAAATAGCAAAAAAAAACCCCAAACCCCAGCTTAGCTGCACATTAGAAGAACCTGTAACAGCTCTGCCCCTGCCCAGGGCCCCACAGGGGCAGAGAACAGACACACGGCTTTTTCTCCCCCCATCCCTCAAGTAACTTCTCCTTAACTCCAACTAAACACCCAGTAGAAGACTTGAGAGCGAGTCCAACGGGAGCAGCCCGAGCATTTGTGAGAACAGATCCATGAAGGCTTTTGTAGCGCAGAGGAGCGGCCTCCTACGTCCCCTGGGCTCGCCCCGTCGAGCGGCCGGGGGTCTGCACGTCGCCCTGCACGAGCAGGGCTGGCTTCCTAGGAGAGCTGGCTTAAACAGAGAGTAGCTTTACTAGCACAAGTAGGCCAGGAGCATCGCTGCTCACACCTCAGTACGACTAACGTGCGTACGCTTCAGCTGCCAATAAATAGCCGCGTAGGAAATTCCGCTTCCGATACATCGCCCCGTCGAGCGGCCGGGGGTCTGCACGTCGCCCTGCACGAGCAGGGCTGGCTTCCTAGGAGAGCTGGCTTAAACAGAGAGTAGCTTTACTAGCACAAGTAGGCCAGGAGCATCGCTGCTCACACCTCAGTACGACTAACGTGCGTACGCTTCAGCTGCCAATAAATAGCCGCGTAGGAAATTCCGCTTCCGATACAATAAATAACAATATTGCAGTATTTTTTTTCTATCGGCCTGCTTGGGAGTCGGTTTGGAATGTCATCGGTGTGGTTTGTTACTTCAGTGCGCTCGAGTCCCGCGTTAAGTGGTCAAGGGTTCCAGCTCTTTGGGTTTCAGCAGCTTCTTGGCAGCGATGATGGTGTTCTTCATCAGCATGGCCACGGTCATGGGCCCGACGCCGCCGGGCACCGGCGTGATGTAGCTGGCTTTCTTCTTCACCCCTGTGGGAAGCAAAGCTAGAGCTCAGCACACGAGCGGAGAGCCGCACCGCTTCCCAAGCTGTGACCAGTCTAACATCACTCAGACTCCCCTCCCAAGAAAATAGGAGTTTCTCAAGGTGGATTTTTTCCCCGTGGAGCGCACTCTCCATCCCTGCCGCTGAGCAGCCTTAACTGCAAAGCCCAAGCTAGGGGGGAAGTAAAAAAGCAAAGTCTAACAGCCAGACTTACATAAACACAAAGTCCAAGACTAAATGTGGGCTTGGCAAGTGCCCTTAAGGGCAGCTACAATAAAGTTCTGACCATTCCCCTTCTCTGTCTCTTCCAGGAGGTGCTGGTGGCTCCCCCTGAGCAGCCGGACACGCGGGACTCATCAGCGCCGCAGCCGAGCGGTGAGTAGCCAGGCCAGAAGGTAAGATCTGTGTGATTTATTTACAAGCAGGAGTACGAGTGCTGCGTCGGGGGGGGAGGCAAACCTGGGTTCAGGATGAGTCTCTGCCTTGCCCACGGCGTGTTACAGGAACACAGCGCGCTGTTGAGTGCGCCAAGGGAGCAGAAGCATCGGTCTGCCTCTGCTCAGGCACGTGAATCAGGACGTTCTCCTCCTCTTCTCAGCACCCCGAGTGTTTAATGCTCAAGGAACCGGCTGCAGAACATTTTCCCTACCTTCGAAATCCACATCCCCAACCAGCCTCGATTTGGCGGTGACGGGATCCTGCACTCTCGTTATTCCCACGTCAATAACCGCGGCCCCTTCTTTGATCATGTCGGCTGTGATCAGGTTGGGGATGCCTGCAGGAACGAAGCAGAACTGCTGGCTCACCGCGGGGCTGAGCAGCTGCCCCCTGCTCCCCCTCACCCCATCTTTTTTTGACCCACCTGGGCCTTCCCACCTCACAAACGCAAATCTACCCACAGTTGCACAAACTAGTGATACCCCCTTGAAGTTCAGCTCTGTCAGGAATTTGAGTGGTTTATCGATAAGCTCAGAGTGTAAAGAGCTGGAATCCACCCCCACAAAGAGTTCCAGGCAAAGCAGCTGGACCCAAACCATCCAAGCTGAATCCTTAAAGCTTCCATTTAAACCTGCGGCTGTGTTTGCTGACGCAGCTTCAGCAAGGTTTTTGCACCTGCATGAAGTCAGAGCAAGGCTGAAGGGCCACCACAACCCACCTTGGCAGAGGCACCGCTTCCACCCTGTAAAACCCTCCTTGTGGTGGGGTGGGGAGCAGCACCCTGGGGCTGAGCCACGCTTTGAGGGTGGCGTGCAGTGCGGTGCGTTTGTCTGGTTCTACCAGATAGCGCTGCCTGGGTTGACTGAGCCAAGGAACTCATTCCCACCTCCCTTTCATTAACTCCTGCACACCTAGTTTCCCTCTGGTCTGCTGGCCACCTCTGGCAAGTTATGGGTCTTCTCTGCCAGTATCTAATCCCACCTTGTCTCTTCATGCCCAATCTCCAACCCACGTCTTTTCCCCTCCCTCCCCACAGGCTCGCTGCCAGAATCCCCCCCAAATCAGCTCCGCTCCTCTGCTGCCAAGCCACCTCCGCGTCGAAGGTACAACCCAGAGAACCCACCTCTGGCAGCTCCTTGTGCCCTGAAGACAGCGCTGCAGCCCCGCAGCGTTTTGACTGTCTCCAGGTAAACAGATCCTATCTTGTTTTTTGATTTGTTTTCCTCCTCCCCACAGTCCGCGTGTAGAACAGAGCCTGTAGCTGTTCTCTAGATCGCACCAGGTGCTCGCTGGCACAACCAAACGCCCCTGCCAGATGTTATTTTCCATTTCAAAGGCAGAGATAGATACAGACAGCTTCTGCTACCAACATCTAGTGTGTGGGCTCCCAGGCTTAATCACAGGATAAACTGCCCGACTCAAGAGCCCCTCACCTGAGGCAGCCAAGAGGGCTGCAGGCTCTCCTACGCTGCCAGAGCTCCTTCAGGGAGGAAAGGAAGGTTGACAGGATTTGTCTCCTGCACACAGGGATTATTCCTCTCCGAAATGCCACAGAAGCTGCAGCGCGGTGCCTCTGAGCACCCAGCCCGTGCTCTTACAGCCGGGTCTTACCTGCTGCCGCCACCACAATATCGGCGCGGATCGTGTGCTGCTTCAGCTGCTCTTTGGGGGTGTAGCGGTGCGATATCGTGACCGTGGCGTCGCCTGCAGGAGCGGTTACACAGAGCTTTTTAATTCATAAACATTACTCCAACCCAGCCTCTTCTCTAAGTTTCCCCTTCAAAGACCACCCATGTATTTATCAGGAATGTCAGAGCCTGATGACATGCCCCAGGAACAGCCTTTGAAATCAGAGGGAAGGAGCTGGAAGAGGATGGGGACTCACTGAAGAAGGCTCTGCCACATCACAAGACTGACAATAAACAAAGTGAACTCCTCAGCCTTGACCACAGCCTGAAATCCCTCAGGTGCTTCCTGGGACTGGTTTGGGAGCCCCAAGAGGACAGAGGGATGGGCAGAAGGGTTTTTTTTTTCCTGCAGCTGCCCGGTACCCAGGCAAGCTCCTACCTCCCGGGCGCTCGTGCCTGCCATCCGTGTGCAGCAGCATGGCGATGGGCATGCCCACGTTCTTCGACCTGCCAGCCACCACCACGTTCTTCCCCAGCGTGGGGATGCCTGCAGGCGACAAGAGATGGAGTCTGGAAACTAAAAAAGCAGGCTAGAGTTATGGCAGGCAGCAGTCAAATCCTGCAGGAGCTTACCAGTCCTCTTGATGATCTCCCACACGCCCCAGGGGGTAGCCGGCAGCATGGAGTACTGGTCAAGGCACATGCGCCCCACGTTTATCACGTGAAAGCCGTCGACGTCTTTATCCGGAGCCACAGCGTTGCAAATCTTGCGCTCGTCGATGTGTTCTGGGAAAGAACAAAACAAGCTTCAACCCTAGGGATCAGCCCAAAACCTGCTCTAGAGCCTTCAGGGTCAGGAAGCTGCTCAAGACTTGCAGCGAGCTCAAGGCTAACAGCTCCCAGCAGGAGGGGACTGGAACCAGTTTGGTTTCACAGCACCACTAATGCAGAGAGGGGATTTTTAAGCAACCTCAGTGTCACGATCGAGTTCAAGCTTTGGGCACTCGTGAGACCTCACCTCGAGTGCTGTGTCCAGTTTTGGTCACCACAGCACAAGAAGGACATGGAGGTGCTGGAGCGGGTGCAGAGAAGGGCAACAAGGCTGGTGAGAGGTCTGGAAAACATGCCCTGTGAAGAGCGGCTGAGGGAGCTGGGTTTGTTTAGTCTGGAGAAGAGGAGGCTGAGAGGAGACCTTATTGCCCTCTACAACTACCTAAAAGGAGGCTGGAGTGAGGCTGGTGCTGGTCTCTTCTCTCTAATTACTAATGACAGGACAAGGGGAAATGGCCTCAAGTTGCGTCAGGGTAAGTTTAGGTTGGATATTCGGGGGAAGTTCTTTCCTGAGCGAGTGGTGAGGCACTGGAACAGGCTGCCCAGGGAGGTGGTGGAGTCACCAACCCCGGAGGTGTTTAAAAAAACAAAGTAGATCTGGCACTTGAGGCTGTGGTGTAGTGGTTGGGTGTGCTGGGATGAAGGTTGGACTGGATGATCTTCAGAGGTCCCTTCCAACCCCTGACATTCTGTGATTCTGTCTGGAAGCCGATACTCCCCACACAAGAATAAATTCCTGAGACCTCCCCCAGCAGCTTCCCTCGGCCAGGCAGCTGCCTGAGGAGTAACTGCATCAACTTGTTCAGGCTGCATCGTGGCAGGGTGCCACCTCCCTCACCACAGGACCGCTCCCGTCCCACTACTCCTTCTGGCAGAGACAAACCCTGAAAAGCTTTAGGTAGAAGTGAATCAGACAGAACTCTAGTTACTCACCAGGTAAAGGAAGCTGTACTAATAGGCCGTCCACGTTGGCATCATTATTGAGTTTGCTGATCAGATCCAGCAGCTCCTCTTCAGTGATAGAAGCCGGCCTGAGGATGGTTTCACTGCTGATCCCTGGGGTTAAAGAGTGACTTTCTTAATCCATGTGGGTTTAAGCCACCCTATTTCGTTGCTCTAGCACATGTGACAGGCACTGTCCAAGGACTGCACGCTTTGTGTAACAACGAGCACCTTCCAGGCTGGAGACATCGAGTCTTGGGAGTTTGGTTAAGGACCATCAGTGTCAGTCGAACGACCTGGGAAAGACTATTTGAAAGCCGAGACCCTCCCAAGGGCAGAGAGGGCTCAGAGAAACCCAACCCAAGGGTGCTACGATGCAGCCACGCATCTTGGGGTCCCAAAGGGGATGTTGGCCTAAAAATCTCGGCTCCAAATGTGGCTTTGGCAGCACAAAACCCAAGAAAAAGTTAAACCCTTAACTGCCCTCCCTGCTTTCAACACATTTTTCTCCAGAACTTGTCTGAACACTGAGCAGGATCTCAGCCTGCAAGACTGGAAGGAGTCAGAGGGGAGCAAGGCTGCTGAGCGACGACTGCATTTTGGGCAGTTGAGGAAAAAGGCAACAAGCCAGAGCCTTGCCTCTGCTTTGTGTGGCCCTGGGAAGACTGAAAACCCAAACCACAGGGCTTGATGTTACCCTAAAAGATCCAAAAAGCACGAGGCGCACGTGAACTGCGATTATTAACGACATCCCAGCACAAGAAGGCGGCCAGAAGAGTCACAAGTGGAAAGCTGCCAGACACACCCCAAAGAGCTGCCTCCAGAGCAGAGGACTCGCAACTCTAAGTTACTTGTCCCGCTTTTTTGGGACAGGGAGCAAGACATACCCACATCAGCAGCCGCTTTGGTTTTGTTCAGTACGTAGGAGTGACTCGCCGGGTTTTCACCAACGAGAACGACGCTGAGGTGAGGTCTCTTGTTTCCAGCTGCAACCCACTGCTCAACCTCGTGCCGGGCTTCCTGTCGGATCTGCCGAGCCAGCTTCCTTCCAGAAATCACAACCGCTTCATTTCTGCGGCAAAGAGAGCATTACCAAAGCAGTCAGTGTCATTAGGACCATCAAACCCAAACTCTGTGCAGCATAGACCAGGGGGAGGAAGAAAAATAGGGCAGAAAGGACCTTTTTGAGCTAAGATACCACCAGTTCTCATTTTTAGAAAGCTGGTCACCCTGTTCCATGCAAAGACGGCTTCACTGCAAAGGGCTTGCACGAAGCAGAACTCCACCTGAATGGAACTTCCACCAGGTCTATTGAGTGATTCTGGCTCACGCTTCGGTACCGAGCACGGTTCCCAGAGATCCTCATTCCCCCTAAATTCCTTGGCCCATCTAGCACAGCACGGGTCCATCTCACGCCCGCCCCCAAGCTCAAATAATTGCTGCTGCAGCTACAGTTGTGGCTTCAGGCTGTCAGAGCTGGGCTGGGGGTAAGTGGTGTCACCCCTCTGACAGGCTCCAACACTCAGCTGGAGGAGAAGAGGCATTTGCCCCTTCATCAAAACAGCCTCCTCACATACGTGCCTGGTCTAAATCAGTAACGGGAACATCCAGTCACGGCCAAATGCATTCCAGGCAACTGGACACCCTGCAGTAGAGAGAAAAGCTGGCTCGACCTCCAGCTAGCTGGGAGGCCACAGCTGCCAGTCCCCACTCATCGCGCTTGGTGGCTTCTTTTTTTGCTTCAGGTTATCGCTATAACTCTTACTCTCTCGTTCAATGATTGCTTGGTGAGAGGAATCATCTTCCCAAGCTCTACTTGGCTGAATTGCTGCAGCTTCTCCTCAAAACCCAACCAGCTGCCTCGTGTACAGACCTTCTCCTACCAGGATCCTGCGTTAAGTCCAAAACTCTTGTTTTCTGACCTTGTTTCTTGACCTTTTCTAGGTACAATCCTGATCCTGGAGCTCTGGCAACAGCTGCCACCAGCGGGAACCACCCCAAGACCCACACAGGACAGCCTCAAGGTAGGAAATTCTTTAGCCTAAACACTTACTTAGAGATTCAGAGGATCTTCTGTGCTTTCTTAATCCCTGCCCTACTCAAATATGCAGTTTTCCCCATTTACTGGTAATTATATGTTACTTCATCCCTAACAGCAAGTCAAACGCATTTAGCGACAACCAGTAAAAACCCATCTCAGACCAGACCTGCCCACACTGGCCCTCTCAAATTCTTATTTTAGCTGTAAAACGAATTATTATCAGTGTCTAGGGTAAGGACTAGTCATCAGATCAGAGACGCCTCATGCCAAGAGCCTACCTCAATTTTCCCCCTTACATAAACCTGAGCTCAGGGTGCTCAGCCTGGGCTTCCAGAGGATGGGGAGAAGCATCAGCCCTGCC